TTTATCTATGTACGATTTAGAATTTATTCTGCCCCAAAATTTTTAAATCGTGATATTGTTACCTCTCTGTAAGAAAAAAAGAAATATAAGCTATGCAACTAGCAGCACTTATAATAATATGTGTAAATCTTTTAATTACGTATCGTCGGCTATATATGAATATAAATGTGATAAATTTCATCCCCTTCTCAGATAGGATCATATTACTTAAACTACACGCCAAATAAATCAACAGCAATATCAGAGTGTGATATACTCCTACAACAGATTCGATAGAAGATCAGGTCGAGACGTTTTATGAGGAATTGAAATAAGTTCTCAAATAAGTTAAAGATCATATGATATAAACATGATTAATAGGTAATTTCTATTCTAAAATAGGATAGGGAAGATTTGATATATTGGTGGGCCCTTATGGACAAATACGCGATGATCGTGGCGAAGGTCTTTGTCAATTCTGTCAAGAGAAAAACATGAAAATAACAAACACGTGGCTCAAGCTGCCACCTAGGCACCTTATCGGAGTTGCCAACCGTACAAAGTTCCTCGTACAAATACGAGATTTGTGGCCTACTGTACGAGGTACGAGAACATGGTCGGGCTCTTATATTTATGTACAAGATTTTGATACTAGATGTACGTTGAACATGTTAGGCTATGAAAAAAAAATAAAAACTTGTTTCTATGTTATTGACGATTTTAATATATTTACCGGTTTAAGTTTTTTACACAAATTTTACAAGAAAACGCAAGCGAAGAACACACATAAACCCCATCCCTGACTGAAAAATGAACCACTCTATGGAGAAAAGAATTAGGTGCTTCATATATCGTTTCATCACATTCATCGTAAATATATGTTTTATTTATTTCTGTCACGTTCTATATTATTTTGTATAGTTATTTCTACCTATTTACGTGTGTACTATTTAAATGAAAAATCCATAAAAAATAAGATTCTGATTGTGTTATGGTATTTTCTTCGACTAATTGTTACTTAGCGGCACAGTATAAACTACTTAAAGGTGTCAACTGCGGTACAAGTACTGTTATGGAAAGTTTTGAAGGAAATAGTGATTCACCTAGTCTTACTCCACCAAGAAAAATAATCAAAAAAGGTGGTTGAATAAAAAAAGGACGGTAGATTCACAAAGTTTTAGACAGCAGTGGTTAAAGGATCCGGATTTGAGGCTTTTGGCAGACACCAACGATTTATCTAAGCTAAGTGTGCCTTTTGCACGGGAACATCGATGGTAACTGAAACTTCTAACTAGAAAGCTTGTGCAACTACGAAAAGACATCTGAGTAACAAACCTAACTCTAGTCGAAAATTACAAACATTAACATCGCTTGGATTCCAGGTAGATGTAATTCAACAAATGCGAGAGCGGTTTCCGATGCGTTTTTTGTCTACAACCAAAGGGGAAATTTTTAGTCGGTAGGCGGACTACAGCGTTCGTTACAGAGTTCCAATTCGACACACGCCGGCCTTTAGAAGACCAGGCCGGTAAGGTCTTTAGAAGATTTTTTACCCCTCACAAAAAAAATGTAATTCAACAAAAGAAAGAAAAGCTTCACGCAGAAATTAAACTGGCTGCTTTTTTTGCAGAGCATAACATCAAATTTTCAGTTGCAGATCATTTAATACCGTTATTGAAAAGAGTTGTGACGGACTCTAAACTAATTAAGGAAATAGAACTAAAAAGAAACAAAGTAACAACAGTGGTGAAAAACGATCTTGGAGAAGGTCATAAAACAGTTTTTAAAATAATCAATTTTCAGTGATGGCGGATGAGACAACCGTCGTCGTTTCAACCATTAAACCTTTTGGTGCGCTATTTTGAACAACATGCTCAAAAAATAAATATATAGTACATTTTGGGAGTTACACAAAGTGTTTAAAAAAACATTCGATGTTGGTGATATTCACCAGCCGCAATGTCTCATTAAAAAATATAGGTTTTGGCTCAGATTGCTGTAACGTCATGATGGGTGATAACGACTCCGTAAAATCAAGATTTCTACATGATTTTAAAGGTATCACAACAGTAAAATGTGTTTGTCACTTGGACCATCTATGTACTAACGAGGCGTGTAAACAGCTACCCGAAAGTGTAGAACAAGCTCGGGATATTTATAACTTTTTTTTTAAATAGTGACAAACGCCAATTTGACTTTCACAACTCCCAGTCACTTCCTGCAGTGGAACCACACAAAATTCTTAAGCCATTGTAGACAAGATGGTTTTCCTTGTTAGCAGTGGTTCAAAAAATACTGGAACAATGAGAAGCCTTACGTTTGTTCTTTTATCGATTTCACGACAAATCGCGTACATAAAGCCAAAACAGATGTGCGAAATCGAGCAATATTTATTTTGAAGCAACTCAGTAACCCATTTTACCCCGAAGGTCCATAGAGTGGTAAAAAAAATTAATAAATTCAATCTGGAATTTCAAAGCGAGAAAGTGGTTATTCATAATTTACATGAGAAAATAAGTGAACACTCAACAATTTTATTGCGATATTTACAACGCGAATATGTCATTAGACAAAATCTAGATGAAATAGACCCTGAGAGTCAGCGACATCAGTTCCATCATGCTACACTGTACATTGGGGTTAAAGTGTACGACCTCTTAAAACATCCTGATGTGGTTAAACAACCTGCTTTTCATGTTGCAAACATTTCTATAAAGTTGCTGCTACCGAAATTATAAATTAAATTTTTTTAAAGGTAGATTTTTTTTTCGAATACACCTTTTTAGTGGTAGAAAATAGTATAATACGAAAATATATTGTGTAGGTACTGAACTATTCGATGTTTTACATAAAACTCATATTACTATTTGCCATGGGGGAAGAGATTGAATGATTAAAGGACTGTCGATATAGAAACGTAACCCGTTATGATATTGTTATGAACCATGCCAACAAAACGGTTAGGGATTAAAAAAAATATTGTTGGGAAGCACATTATTTCTTCCGAGTTTAATTCCTGTTGTGAAGTGAGCTTGGTGGGCTTACGGCCACACCCAGATAGGATCTATAAATTTATATTGATTTACCAAGATCATTTAACCAAATTCGTTGTATTGGGTCCTAAACCGAAACGAGCGGAAGAAGTTTCTTATGTTTAGTTAGATATTTTTTATCTTAATCGGTTCCCCGAAAGAAGTTGCCCACTAGATTGAATATATTGGTACCATGTCAAAGATCTTAGAACATGTGTTAAATAATCAAATGAAAATATATACATAAAACATAATAACATTTTAACATCTCATCAATCGGGATTTCGAGATGAGCACAGTTGTGCCACTCTGCCTTATTTAAGGTATCTGAGGATATTCTGACCCTAACAAAGAAAAAAATGTTTAACGTTTCAGAAAAAAAAACTATTCAAAGAATAAAGAAAAAAACTATTCAAAATATTTAAACTCAACTATTCGGGAACACTTTACCCTTCAGTTAAAATAACAGAACGTCAACGGTTTCTTGTGGACGTATCTGTTTTGGAAAGGTTAAGTGTTCTCGAATAGTTGAGTTTAAATATATTGAATAGCTTTTTCTTTTCTACGTATTTTTTTGCTTCCGACGACGGAAAGATATAAACTTTCCGAAAGGTTAAGCATTTTTTCTTTGTTAGGCAAATTTGTATAACTGTAAACATAAATTCTGACTAGCAGTGTCCGTTCAGGTTTAACGCACAAGTGTTTAACGCACAAGTGTTTACAAAAAATAACTATTTTATTTTGTAGATTTTCTTGCGGTGCAGTGGCGAAATACCCATAAAGGATTTTTTTGGAGAAACCTAACTGTAATTCCCCTCCACAAGACATATTTGTATAAGTCATATTTTTCCTGTTCGATTTCCAAATTGTATAGCGAATTGCCAGTTTATATGAAAGTTACTGAAAATTTAAACCGTTTTAGGTTTTATACCCGTCAATTGCTTTTGGATCTACAGTAGATTTTTTGATAATTTAATCGCGTTTCAGTTATGTATATACTTTGTTTTGTTTTTAATGTCATCAAGGAGTTAAATTGAAGAGCAGAGCTTGGTTAGGTTCTGAATTTCGCTCCTTCTCATTTAGAGGTGATTGACTCTTGTGTTTGGATTTTTTGGTTATAGTATTTGTAATATATTTTTTTGTACTAGTTCTATTTTTATTTATATATATTTTGTAGCAGTATTAGCCACCGCTGACTATTGTGCAATGGCAAGCCAAGATATTCACAAAGCAATGTTGAGAGAGCGAACAAAGATGTTGAAAACGTGTTAAGATGAATAAATATCGGCTATTGGAATAAAGCGTTAAGATTCGTACAGCTAATAAAAAATAGAGCTTATCATTCTGGAATCAAACGAACACCATACGAGGCTTTGTCATACGAAGTTATTGCACCAAAAAAAATTAACTGTAATAAAACAAAAACCGAGTTAATTTACATAGTATAGTATAGAAACATTCACATAACTTATAACTAGGATGCCTAGGAATTGGAGTTCATTTCAACAAAGGAAGTGCATTAAATTTAACATCCACTACATTCAATCTGAATAATAAGTGAATTGTTTAACGAAACAAATAAAACCAGAATAAAACATAAAACGAGTTAACATACATAATATATTATAATACAAAGCATAACTTGAATATATAACAGAACACCCACTATATAAAATCCCAAATTTAAATAAATTGTAGTGCTCAATGTAGAAAACATTAATCCAGCATAAACCAAACTAGCATGCATAAATAGAACAATATTAAAATAAGATATAAGTAGAGGAAGTAACAATAAAATAATCAAACCTCCTAATAAATAGAAGTAAGAAGTATAAAGAATATGCACATATATGATCCACTCAAGTTAGGTATAAATATCTATGGATTGAACAGACCCTGTACCTGTAATATAATATATATTATTTATCAACACTATTATTCTATCTATGTTATACTTAATGCGAGTAAAATTACATGTTTATTAAAACGCCCATTTTTAGTTTTCATTACGTATCAATAACTTCTGTTTAAGGTATTACTATGACAAAATTAAGTACCCCCGTCTTAGCAGTTTTAATATTTATTACTATTATTGAATGTAAAAGTATCCCAAAAGGGTACTATCATAGTGATTCTATAGTGACAAAATGGCCAACAGAAAGTACTCAAGTCGAAACAGTAAACAAAACTGTTATATTATCACATAATGAAAAGCCTGGCTTAGTGGTAAGTACAATTTATAAATTAAAGAAAAATTAGAAAATAAATGTACAAAATAGTGTGTAGGCGTAGTGTGCATAGAATACAAATTATGATTTTTACATATTTTTGAGAAAAATCAACTATTCATAAAAGCTTTTGCTTGTGGTTGATTCCGCTTTTTCTTCAGGTTGCTCTACAGTTTCAGAGAAAAATAAAAAAAAATTGAAAATATCGTAGAATTTTTTGCAAAGGCAAAACGCGTCTCTAGGGAACAATTCGATTCAATTATTACTAATTATTTGTTTTGGTGAAGTAATTGTTGTAATGACCAACAGCTCCATAAGACTACGTTTTGTAATGTACTAACACTGTAATTACGAGTATAATCAGTGAAACATAAATGTTATTTTAATTAATAATAAACAAAAACTTATTCGAGTCATTCTCCTATTTCAGTCCAATTTTTTTAGTAATATTGTGATAATATTTCGTTTAATCTACTCTTAATACAAGAAAATTATGATATTTTTTTCGTTACGTTCAACTTCAACAATCCGACGATAAATATTATCATATTTTCCATATTATTGAATATAACACATAAATCAGGATTGATTGACGTATTCAATTATTTTAAGTCACTTCCTATTTCACCGGAAATTATTACGAAAAGAAAATTACATTCTGAATGAACATATCATAAACCCAAAAAAACCTTTTATGGGTATTTTGCCACTGCACTGCAATTTGATTTTAAAGAACATAACATACGTAAAATTTAAAAATAATCATACAGAAAGTTTTGGGTTTTCTGGTTCATTTTAACAGAACGTCAACGGTTTCTTGTAGACGTATCTGTTTTAAAAAAAGTAAAGTGTTCTCGAATAGTTGAATTTAAATATTTTAAATAGTTTTTTTTATTCTTTTATTTTTTTGCTTCCGACGCGACGACGGAAAGAGATAAACTTTCCGAAACGTTAAGCATTTTTTTCTTTGTTAGGCAAATTTTTATTACTGTAAACATAACTTCTGACAAGCAGTGTCCGTTTAGGATTAATACTATTTTGATACTATTTAAAAAGGATAAGTTCTTTACAATATGGCAACACCGCTTGGTAGCAGTGGAAACACTGTTGCTAAAATTTATATTGTGGCCTAGAGGTGAATGGTTAAAGTGAAGGTAGGTTAATTTAAATTATTAACTACAATAAAATTCATCTAGCATTTTTGCAAGATTGCTTTTCTTGTTCGTTAGAAAATATATTGATATTGGCAATCTTAAGTTGAATTATGGTAAAGCCCCATACCAGAGTTTACAGAATAAAATATCCATACACACACTTCGCCCCTTCGTCCCTTCGCTTCGTTACTTCACTTCGTTCCTTCGACCCTTCGCTTCGTTCCTTCGTCGATGCGATTGGTTTTTTTTTTAAGAAAAAAAGATGGTGGACGCAGTCTTTATATAAAAGCAAATCCCGGTAAGTTCCTTTTTATTTATAAATGTACTGTAAACTAAATTAGGCATATTTCGATAAGTTATTTATGTAACCCGTTTATAGGTATAACTGTGAAAATATGCTTGTGGATATGTTGAAGGAATCGTCCGGTAAATTCAACGAATTTTGTCAGATGACTTGAAGATTTTGAGTTTCTGTTGGGTGCAATTGACCCCAAAATACAAAAAAATAATACGACATTTAGATCATCCATTCCGCCAACCTAGCTGCTTTTTTTGCAGAGCATAATATCGCATTTTCAGTTACAGATTTAACACCGTTATTAAAAGAAGTTATGGTGGATTCTAAACTAATAGAACTAATAAGAACTTCTAAAGGAAATAGAACTAAAAAGAATCAAAGTAACAACACACAACAGTGGTGAAAAAAGTTCTTGGAGAAGGTCATAAAACAGTTTTCAAAAAAGATATAGGTAGTACACTTTGGGAGTTGCACAAAGGGTTTACAGAAACATCCTCTATATCACAAATAATTTTAAATTGTGTATATAAACCTGCCCTAAAACTTTCTATTTAATAATGTTTAGCAATTCTGAAAACAAACGAGATAATTAACATTACTCTGTTGTTGAGTCATCCTGTACAAAATACTAGGACTAGGGGTACTATTAAAAACCTTTCACAGGCGGATTTGTCCAATTATTCTTTTTTGTCCGAAACAGACCAATGCAATCTTATTTTGGGGATTTGTCTGGTTTTGCTTGATTAGCTCGGCATTAATAGCGATTTTAATGGAACTTAAGAAAAAATGGTTCATCTGAATTCCATATTCCATATACATATGATTTATCTCGCCACATAAGAAATAAAAACCTATCAATAAGTTATTTTTGACCGAAAGTGGATTTATCTGGTTTCGTCTAATTGCTCGTCAATAATTGATGTTTCTTGGTTTAAAAAATTAAAATTATAGCATGTTCTTATTGATCTTTTATGTAATAATAAATTTTATAATAAAAGAAATTATGATTAGATTTTAATTAAATGATTATAAAAATCATTATATCAAAAAAAGTAAAAAAATTAGGGGTAAATAATTTTATATCATCGTTTGATTTCCTAATGAGTTTATAATTTTTTTTTAACTAATATGTTTTATTTTTATCAAGTACTAATTTAAATACCAGTCTAACATGAAATCGTTAATAACTATATAGCAAATTAAATTTAATTAACATAGAAATTGAAATCCGTCTTAACTCTAATAAAAGGATATAATAAATTAAGTATTCCTTAAAAACAAATATGTGCTGCTGATTATTCTGGAAATATTAGCATTAAAACAAATGGATTTGAAATATCAAAATATATGATGTTATATATAAAATCTCAATTAATTAATAGTTAACAAAAACCAATATTTTAATTATTTAATAATTATTGTGTCTTACCAGTGTATCGAAAGTTTCTTTCGGCGTATATATTTCACGTAGAAAAGTATCTTATAGTGAGTATGGGGGCCATGTTGGCATATATATATCGTCGCACCCTGCTCCTGATTTTTGTGTTGATGTTACTTTTCTGCGATAATACCGATATGTTTGAAAGAGGCTTTCTTTCCTTTTTTTTAATTCATGTATGTCAATCCCCAATTTCCTCAGATATTTTAGCAAATGCATCATGCACTCTATTTCTATTTTTTTATTTTTATCACTGGGTTCCATAAACATGGATGTACCTGTATTTTCTTTAGAAATGGGACGGCCATTTCGTCTTTCCATTCCATTTTTAACTTTTGTGTGTGATTTTTAAATTTACTGGCGATTGCTAGACATACAGACGTACTGCCACATCAAGAAATTAACTACAAATGAGATCCAGATCGATTTATATATTTTAATATTTTTTTTTGTGTTCGTGATAATTCCTTGGCTACTTCGTCCAAAAACCGACAGTACGGCGAAGGAGCGTTTTGACGAAGCAAACGGACGAAGGAACGAAGGAACACACAGTCGCATAAAATCGACAATTTCCCATAGTAAATATAAGTAAATATAGGATTTTTGGACGAAGGGAGGCGACGAAGGAACGAAGTGAACGAAGTGGCAAAGTGTGAGTATGGGGCTTAACCAAAGGATCTGTTGACACTTTAATTTTGAAATTAAGTTGATAATATTGATCGGATGAAAACTCAGACTTGTTTTCATTTACCCCGTGCATACACCGCGTTGAGGAAAATAGAAACACATGTTTGGGGTAAAGGAGTTCCTTAAAAGTAAAGGTAAAAAAAGTAAAGGTTCCTTTTACCTCAAGTCAGTGTCGGGGTACTATCTCATGATTTATCGTGAGATCTTACGATTTTGTATCAAATCTCATGATCTTGCCATACGTGCGCAGGATCTCACGATTTTTTACGTTTTACCAATTAAAAGATACTTTTTTTAAGAAATATTAAAACATCTGAGTTACTGACCAAAAGGTTCCTAGTTCCTAATTTACCCCATGGTCACCCCAATTGCTATTCATAGCGAAAACCAAGCTGAAATTTACCCCACTGTGATGGGAAAATGTAAATATTCATGGGGTAAATGGAAATACATTAAAACAATCCTTATCTCTACTTCAACAAAAATTGTCATTTTTTTACGTATATTTTCACATACCAAGCTGAGAAGGAACCGCCATTCAAAACAAAATAACTTATAATAATAATTTTCTTCTTATCTTCCAAGATAATTTTAAAATAATGTTTGCAAAAATCGTTTTCATTTCCCCCAATTGGCCCTATAGCGGCTATAACGTTTTTGTCTCTATTCGTAAATATTAACTTCAATTTATTGAATAGTTTACTACAATATAATTTAACGTATACCATAGCCACAGCAACGCGTGGTTGGGTCTACTAGTGTCGTAAGCAAATTTTGAACACTTGAAGTTGACGTGAAATAAATTGTAGCATAAATGAAACGTTTGGACTTTTAACATAGAGCACCATCTATTAGCTGGTCATACACGGAAAGGCCTGGCCTTTAGATTTGGCCATGAGGCCGGGCCTTCCACAAAAATGTGCCATCTGTTAGAATCTTATGGAACTCACAGATTTGGTCATAACTCTTTGTCATAATATAATAAACAAATAATTTGCAATAAAAAAATATTGCGATTATAAATTGAGATATAAACTATTTCTGAATGTTGGATCAAAGTGCACACAGTGTGCAAAATTAGGTTTAGTAGTTTAGGAGTTCATCGCGGACAAACAACATGATACCGTTGATTGAAGAAACAAGAAGATTGGCAACCTTATGGGCGATTTCTTGGCACTGACCGTCAGCCTATCCGAGATTTAGTTTAGCTCTGTGCCACTGCGTGCTGATAATCGTTTACAGCGCAGCGGATAAAGAATACCGTATCGTAGCGGACGTGAGTCTGAGTGATTATAATTATTTATTATAACATATTTTTTTATTTGTTATTAGGTATTATCAGAGAAAATCAGAGGTAATAAAATTTATTTTTTAAAATATAAATTAAAAATTATAACGATTTTTTTGAGATGTCTAACTCCAAAACTTATAAACAAAAATTTAGGATGTGTAGTAAAAGCGCCCTCTTTCAAAGAGTGGCTTACGTTTGTAGGATCTACAGAAGGGCGAATTTCTAAATGCAAAGCTTGTGGTAACCTATTACAAAATCGCTATGCCGATCTAAAGGCACACAGCATATCAAAAAAACATACAGCAAATGCCAAAATTGTATTTGGCAAATCGCAACACAAAATTCCTTTTAAAAAGGACTCAGAAATATATGAGTTGAAAAGGGCTGAGGCAAGAATAGCCTTATATGTTGCCAACCATACTTCTATCAATGCGTGCGATCATATCAGCAATATATGTAAAACTTCGTTTCAAAATGCTGATGCACTCAGTCTACATAGGATCAAATGTACGAATATTATAAAAAATGTCCTGGCTCCTCATTTTATAATTTTTTTGAGAAATGATATTGGCGAATCGCCATATAGCCTTCTGTTAGATGAGTCGACAGACATAAATATTAAAAAAATATTTGGGCATATCATTATATATTACAGCAAAAAACAAAATAAAATTGTAGAGACATTTCTTGACATGCCTGAACTCATAAATGTGGATGCTGAAGGTATTGTTAGGGCAGTAAAGGAAACACTAGCAAAGCACAAGCTCAAATAGCAAAAATTAAAAGGTATAGGCACTGATATAATGCCGCTGTTATGGTAGGCATAAACAATGGTTTTTATAAAAAGTTAAAAGATGATGTTCCGAACTTAGTTTTTATCAGGTTAGTATGTTAGCAATCTTTGACAACATATATTATCAAAAAGCAAATTATCATATAATATTAATTGGATTCTTTTAGGTGTGTATGCCACTCCTTACAGTTAGCTGTTAGTGCAGCAGCAGCTGAGTACCTACCCAGAAATATTGAATTTTTAATTAGAGAAACCTATGATTGGTTTGCTAGATCATCTTTAAAACAAAAAGAGTATAAATTATTGTACAAAACTACAAATGATGACCCTGATCCAAGAAAAATTGTACAAGCATGTCAGACTCGATGGCTGTCCATAGAGTCATCAGTGTCCAGAATCCTAGACCAGTGGCTGGAATTAAAAACATTTTTTGGTATGGTAAGGAATAAGGAAAGGTTACAGCAGAAACACTTTTTGCAATATATAATGATGACAAAAATTATGCTTTTATGGCATTATTAAAAAATATTTTGGTGGAGGTTCAGAGAGTAAATAAATTGTTTGAATCTAATAATGCTGACCCCGCTAAACTTTTAGATGAATTGACAAATTTGTTGGATACCCTTGTCTCAAAAATTAAATTGCCCCATGTAAGACTAGATATTTTTAAAGATAAAATTAAAGACTATGTAGACTCAAACTGTTATTTAGGGTATAGTTTTGAAAATACTCTGACAATGCTTAGAGAAAAAAGTTTTAAGGCTAAAGTCGCTAAACTTTATTATTTGTTTAATAAAAGAAATTAGACAGAGACTCCCAAGTAACTTTGATATTTTAAACCAAATATCTTACTTGAGTGTTTCAAATGCACTTTCTCATAATAAGAAGTCCATAGTGCCATTATTACAATATTTTTCAAAAATTGAAATAGAAATTGATGTTATTGAAGCTGAGTGGAGAAAAATCCACTTACTGAAATGGAATGAAACAAAAAATGATGCTGCCAATTTTAAAGATGCAAATGATGAAAATCCATTGCGAAGTTTAGCTTCCTTTGCCTTAGAACTTTTGGTAATACCACACTCCGATACTGAAGATGAGAGGTTATTCAGCCAACTTAACATTATTAAGAATAAAATCAGAAATCGACTACCTACATTTTGATACTTTAGTTTCTTTGATATACATAAGATGTGGCCTTAAAAGTGTAGAAAAGTGCTGTGAAATACCACATTATGTTATAGAAAAAATAAAGACAAATGAGACCCATCAACCATTTGATATGATTCCTGAGTATTGTGATGAAGATTTATCAGATATATTTAATTAACCTCTTTTTTTCTAGTTCTATTAAACTACTTTAATTTAATATTAATACTATTAGTTTGGTTGGTTTGATGCATGAAGCAACTAATTTTTGTTATACCAATCAATGTAAGAATTATTGGTTCCTTCTTTAGAAAATATTTTTGTTTTTGTTTTTAATGTCTTTATATCATTTGTTTTTTTATTTAAGTACTTCCTATGAGTTACTAAGCCTTGTTCTTAGAGCTTTGTCTTATCACTGATGACAGTAATTTCAGCTAATCACATCACTGTTGAACGTGATGGCCAGCGACAGGACGAAACTTTGAGAACTAGGCTATATTTGTGTTTAAAAAGGCTGTTTTACTTGGCTATGAATAGTATTTAATGCTTAGGTTAAGTAATATTTAACATGAAACATGACTGATATTAGTATTAGTAATTTTTCGATTTTTTTTCTATAATAAATGTGTTTTCCTGTTTTCTTTAACAATGAGTTTTAATTTACAAAATATCCACCCCACCCTTATGTCCCTTATTTTCTGCTTTTAATTGCAAAACCCCCTCTCAAAAAAATGGCAAAAATTACGTTTATTTTAAAAATCGCAATAATAAATGACAAAACATAATATTATTCTAATAAATTATACCTTTTTGCAAAAAAAATCTGGTGGAATTCTAGTGGAATTTAATATTTTTATCTAGTGGATTTTTAGTGGAATTAAATATGATTTCTGGTGGAATGTCTCGTAACAAAGTTGGCAACACTGCAAGTTAGAGAAAATAAGTGTTTTATGTGTTGACCGCAGAACGATTGGTGTCTCCGCCGTGTATCACTTCAGACGTAAGGGGAAATCAAATCCGCCTTGTCACCCTCAATTCGCCCATTAAATTGCGTATCTTCCCAAGTTTTTCAATCAACGGTGATACAAAATTTTTATATATAAAGATAACAAGCATTATTTTGTTTCAGACAAAAACCTTGCTGAAATTTGGACAAGTAGCTTCAAAAATAGGCAACGCAATGGGAGCACATGCTAATAAAATCACACGAGCTCTGGACAAGATCTGTGAAGTGTTTAAAACCGTCATTCCTCTTTTAGCAGCCGTCTGTCATGTCGGTCAATTTGGATTTTGTAGTGCCACGGATGAAGCACCTATTCGACTTTCAGAGGCTATGAATCCAAATGATTTAAATTTAGACGGTTTAGATAGATAAAAGAATATAACAATGCTTTAAATTCTACATGTACACGGTGTCCCATTTTCGTGTGTTTTATAGGGTTTCTCGTTATGAGTAGAGATACATGCGGTTTTCACATCACTGTGTTACTTGAAATAATAAATGAAACTAAATATGCTACACACAGATTTACCTAGCCTGAAATACAGGACGAATTTAAATATTTCGCATTTTTCGACTCCCCTCGTATCTCGATTATCCTATAACTTATCAAAAAGGAAAACTGTATTCCGTAGAGTTTTTCACGTAAAATCCAGTGGCGTATAGAGTATACTATACTCTATACTTATTTTCATAAATACGGTAAAAAAACTGCATTATTTAATTATTATGTATTTAACTTTTTAATATAAATCAACCTAGTATAAAAGAATATTATTATTTTATTTTATTTAATTTTACCAGATAATTTTGCTTTCCGTTATGTTTTCTTGACCAACTGCACCGAAAATTAACTTGTGCAGCTTTTAGCTAACACCCTGTCAAACAGAGTTGTTGATATTTTTATGCATTTGTGTATTAATTCTACACACAGAAATCAGCGTGGAATAGTCAATAAAAAAATTATTTTTGAAATAAGTGTAGAGTATACCTACTATATATTTTTAGAAGGCCCATAACGAAACAAATAAAATAAAAAAATAATATACAGGTTATTCCATTTAAAAAAAAATTGGGTCATATTTCAAAAATTACAGCTCCCAGCGAAAATCTAGATACTCCACTGAGTTCTACGTGATAAGCTCAGTTGTGAAATACGAAGGGGGGCTACGAAAAATTTGTGGGTAGCATCTTCAGTTTCATAAAAAAGTATTATAGTGATGTGAAAACCAAAAATCCAATAAAACACACAAAAAAGGTCACCCTGTACATTTCATATTAGCATTTATTTTTTGTTTAGTTTTTCAAAGTTTTTAAATTATTTTTAAATGAAACATGCTGCTTAACTGTGTAAGTTATATGTATAACAACAAGTTATTTAGTAGGTCAGAGATCTGATATGCGATATTACAATTATGTGTAAATTTAGAACTACAACTATAATCGTAAAATTTTAGATTAGAATTAGTAAAAAATGTATATTAGTATTTTAATAAAGCACGCTTTTAGATGTTTCAAAAAACTTTTAATAAGAGTAACTTTAACTCTACATATATGTTTCGGCTTGTTAGGCCTTTTTCAAGAGTTTTTTAAGAACTAATCGTCTAACTACACTGTAACTATATACACAAAATAAAATAGTTATTTTTTGTAAACACAGATGACAAATGACATTATATCATAGATATACAGTGTATCCACGGATTGTCTTAAATATACTTGTAAACTTGTTCATTTTCGATTTTTCGAAAAAAAGTCATTCTTCGTAACTTTTCTTGCTTGTTATTTAAATATGATTGAAGTTGTATATACATAAATATAAATTTTAATATACAGGAAGCTTAAAAAATGTAAAATTGGAGATATGAAAAATTTAAAATTCTCGATCAGACTGCTCTGAAACATTAAAGTGAAAGAGCATTGAAAAACAATTTGAAATGCCAAATATTTTTTTTTATACGAGTTTTAGTTACTAAGATATTTGATATTAATAATAATCTTAAAAGGGATTTTTTTAATTAAATATGAGAAAAAACCTATTAAACTTAATACAGGAAGGTACATTTAATTTAATTAATACAATAAAGGTTTATTCGACATGAAATCCTACTACGTCAACACACATCTCAATCCCTTTTTGGAATTCATTATAAACATTACTAATCATCTCAGGTGTCATATCTCCAGTTTTACATTTTTTAAGCTCCCTCTATATTAAAATTTATATTTCGCAACTTCAATCATGTTTAAATAACAAGCAAAAAAAGTTACGAAAAATGACTTTTTCTCGAAAAATCGAAAATAAACAAGTTTACAAGTATAGTTAAGATAATCCGTGGACCAGTGGCGTGCATTGCATATAGGCAAAAAAACATTGTCTACCCTTCCATTTATTCAAGACAGACGCATAATAAAAATATATTTATCTGATCAATTTTCATTATATATCTACCTACAAATCCTACAATGCGACCTACATTGTTTTATTTTTCTAAATAGTAAGTTAGTATTGTGTTTATTACGGTTGCAAAGCCGGATGTAATGTCATTTTAACAGAACGTCAACGGCTTTTGTAGACGTATCTGTTTTAAAAAAACTAAAGCGTTCTCGAATAGCTGAATCTAAATATTTTAAATAGTTTTTTTTCTTTATTCTTTGTATTTTTTTGCTTCCGACAACGGAAAAAATATCTGAAAATATATCGGAAAAAATCCAAAAAAATAAAGAAGTTATACGGGTGAGCCACTTTTGAGACGCACCCGGTATAGGATTTTTTTATTAGAATTAGTATAAAAAATAGATAATTATCTACATAAAGGGAAATTAAAACAACTTTCGTTGCACGTCATCAATGACATCATGCGTCGTCTTACGGAGTTTGCTGGTGGTCGTATTATGATGTGCAACCAAAGTTATTTTAACTTGCTTGTTTATATATATATATATATATATATATATATATATATATATATATATATATATATATATATATATGTTTTTTTATTCTTTCTTTGACCTCCTCATATATATATTTATTTATTTTTGTTACGGTTTTAAAATGAGAAAGTCTTATATTAAATATTATCGAGCCAGTTTTCGATCAGAATAGATTGCTGGTAGGGTCTTTATCAATTATTTATTTATTTAAACAATCTACGTTCAAGTAAATACTTTTGATAAAGACCCCTACCAGGTCGAAACGTCAATGAAATATTTAATATAAAAACTGTTTTTCATTTTTACCTGACCTAAAAGCCAAGAAAAATTAAATAATATATATATATATATATATATATATATATATATATATATATATATATATATATATATATATACCAGGTTTTTCTCAAAAGTGACTCACACCCTCAGAATATTTTTTACCTTTATTCGATAAAAAATGACATTCTTCAGACACTCTCAATTTGAACTTTTGAATGACAAGTCAACTTTTAACATTTGGCATATGGTTGTTTTCGCTTGCATTTTTGTTTTTGGTCAATTCCTGTTTCACCGGAAATGACTACAACTTTTGATTTTTAAATGACACCCTCGGTATTTTTTACTTAATTCGATAGAAAATGACACTCTGAATAGAATGACATATCATATGTCAACTTTTTTTTCTCATATAGTTTATTTAAAAGTGTAACATGCGGTTCATAACGACAATTTGACTAGAAATACCAACTGTGTGGAGCCTATTACAGTGTGTGGTATAAAATAATTATTCGTAAAATATTCTTTTTCCAAATATGCTATTGAACGTTCTCTCGTTCCATTTGAAAAAATTGAGATATGATTGAAAATACGATTCGGGGATCTTTTAAGCGACCAGGACAAGACTCGAAAAACATTAGACCATCAAATCTATTTTTCTAAGGCTCCTTTATTAAAAATTAGTGTTTCACAGCCATGGCATTCCCTCAGTGATTCAAGCACTTTATAAAAAAGTAACATGCTCACTTCTACATAACGCGCAAACAAGTAGTTATTTTGAAACTAAAACGTCAAACAAGAATGCAGACAATCTCACCTGTTTAATATTGCCCTCGACACTATAATGAAGGAATCACTCAAAAACACACGAGGTTTACACCGGACCCTTACGACACATATCACTGATCTGGAATATACCAATGATATCTGCCTATTTGCACAGTCCTACAACGATATGCAAAACATGATAAACAAACTACAAAATGCAGCCAATCAGTTAATTTTAATTTAATTGTTAATACTCGTTAATACTAATGCGACGAATTCTTTGCATATTTTAGCCGAACACGATCCGAAACGAAGGCCTATTGTATTTAATTGGCCAAACTGTGATATGCAAAGAAGTGATCATACGAAAGTGGGGATAGGGTAGGGCATACTCTAAAACAACCTAATGACATCACAAGAAATGCCCTTGACTGGAACCAACAGGGAAAACGGAAAAACAAACATGGCGCAGAACCGTAATGGAAAAGCTAGCGAAGTCAAGAACATCATGGCTAGAAGCTAAGAAAATTGCGGAAAAGAGAACAAGATAAAAGGTTTTCACTGAAGCCCTATGCTCCACCTAGGTAGGTACTAAAGGGAACAATGATAATGGCACTCTAAACTGAAATTCAAAATACGATTTTTTATGTGAAAATATCAAAAGTTGACATATATGTCATTCTATTGTGTCATTTTCTATCGAATAAATTAAAAAAATACATGGCATTTAAAAGTCAAAAGTTGTAGTAATTTCCGGTGAAACAGGAAAGTATCAATAACAATTGAATACGTATATCACTCCTGATTTATGTCATACACTTACGTACTAAATCTCGTTTTTTATCTGAAAAATTAAAAAAGTTATAGGGGGTGAGCCACTTTTTAGAAACCCCCGGTATAATACATAATCTATTAAAAAATCATTAACGAACCTCCATGACATGAAGTGCATGTTGATTTTTTTTCACATATTTATAATAATAATATTGTATTTCAAATATATGTTTACTCTCAAGTTGTAGTTTTATTCAAATGATGTATTTTTTATATCTAAACTTTCTTAATAAATTATATATAGAACTAGACTGTAACGAAATAAAAAAAAACTAATTCTGTTTTACGATTATTTTTAGTATTTCCAGATTAATTTCAAAGTTTCTTTTAAGTAAACGAATTCGTTACGAGCATTTTACAAGCCTTCAAGGCAATACCCGTTCCGGCCTTAACATATTTATATTCTGCTTACCTCCCTATAATCGGCAATTTTTGATGCTTTTCCGCGTAACTACATAACTTTGGGGAAAATCCTCGGCAAAGACCGCCTTTGGCGACATCTACATATCGTTACTTTGCATGGGATCAACTTGTTTAAATATACGAGCTTTCCAATTTTCATAATAAGCCTTTTTATTGGGGCCAACTTACATTATATCAAAAGTTTTATGGGGTCTTTTCTCCTGATTTTGCTATAATAAAGTCTTATGATTTACAAAAGAAACGGAATAAATAGTAAACATCAATGCGTAAAATGTTTATGTATATTTTAGTTTATTTGCATCCAGATATTTATTTTTGTGTATAATTTTTAATATCTAAATATACTGTTTCAATTATTATAGTCATTATCATCATCATTTTCAGCTTATTTAACCATTTCCGATTATGGTGTCGCCAAATAATGTATATCTTTTATTATTTTTTTTTGAAGGGCCCCAAGTTCCTATGGGCTGAATTTATCGACACTTTTTAGCATTAAAATATGTAGCACTTATAGTAACTTTTTCCCTCCAAATTTAATTCGAATAACTAAAAGTACTTGGAAGAAAATAATAATAAACCGAAAGATTATTAGGACTTTAACACACCGTATCTACGAAACAAGAAGACAGAATCGGACCTATGTTGATATGAAAAATAAATCTTATTTTTACGTGAGGAATCTGCCCACGAGAGATAGCACGTATTTTTTGAAATACCCTGTATATTTAATAATTAATTGTATAAATTAATTACAAAAGTAACACTACAATAGGAATATACTAAAAATGACAAAATTTAAATAAAGATATCAAAATCTCCTTTAATAATAGCATCCATAATAATATTTTTAATCTTAAATAAAATCCCAACAGACCGACAAGACCTCTTGACGACCGCCCGGAATATCAACT